CCAGCCGTGCCAGCCATCGGAGGGTGAACCAAAGCAAAAGAAAGACCTGCTCTCTGTCTCTCTCTCTCACTGTCCACTCTGCCCTGTCAGAAAAAAAAAAAAAACACACAAAAGTAAGTGAAGCAAATATGGCAAAATGTTAACAGGTGGTAAGTTGAAGCAATGTGTGTATAACAATTCATTATACCATTCTGCCTACCTTTCTATTTAAAACTTTATAAAAGAGAAGGGCAGGCCAGCGCCGCGGCTTACTAAGCTAATCCTCCGCCTGCAGCGCCAACACCTTGGGTTCTAGTCCCGGTTGGGGCACCGGATTCTGTCCCGGTTGCCCCTCTTCCAGGCCAGCCCTCTGCTGTGGCCCGGGAGTGCAGTGGAGGATGGCCCAGGTGCTTGGGCCCTGCACCCCATGGGAGACCAGGAAAAGCACCTGGCTCCTGGCTTCTGCCATCGGATCAGCGCGGTGTGCCAGCCGCAGCGCACCGGTCGCGGCGGCCATTGGAGGGTGAACCAACGGCAAAAGGAAGACCTTTCTCTCTGTCTCTCTCTCTCTCACTGTCCACTCTGCCTGTCAAAAAAAAAAAAAAAAAAAAGAGAGAGAGAGAAAGAGAGAGAGAAGGGCAAGAAGGGGAGGGACACAGCACACAGCAGACCACCACAGCAGTTCACTCCCCAGATGGCTGTAATGACCAGAGCTGTGCCAATCCGAAGCCAGAGTTTCTTCCAGGTCTCCCACGTGGGTGTAGGGGCCCAAGGACTTGGGCCATCTTCTACTGCTCTCCCAGGCCATATGAGAGCTGGATCGGAAGAGGAGCAGCCAGGACTAGCACCGCTGCCCATATGGGATGCCAGCACTGCAGGCCAGGGCTTTAACCCACTGCACCACAGCGCCGGCCCATGACTTACTTTCTTCATCTGCAAATTGGGCTCATAACAGAGTCTAATTCATACAGTTAGGGTAAGGAGTCAGTGCCTTAATATCAGTCCGATGCTTAGACCAATGCTCAGTAAATAGTAGCTATTATTACTCCATTAAGGGTGAATTTCAATTTGTAAGATCCAAGGAATGCTGGCCTGTGGGCCAATCAAATCTGGCTGGAGGGTGGGGTCAGGAAAGGACAGGCATCTCTCCCTGAGAGCATGCAGTTGGAGAGTGGAGCAGCTCTAGGGGTGGGTGTCCCCAGAGGAGGAAGGTGGAGTGCTGGACAGACAAGACGCTGGGAGACGAGGTGCCACTGCCTTGGTGCGTGCATTTCACGACCAGGAAAGAGGTGGCATTAAACGGCAAACAGCTGCCTATACACACCAGGTGAAGTCCAAGGGCTCACCGCAGGCCAGCCTGGGAGAGCCCTGAGCAGAGGTGTGCAGGCATGGTTGCCACCTCCTTCACTCCACTGCCCCAGGGGAGCCAGGGCTGCACCCCAGGGGAGCCAGGGCTGCGCAGCAGGTATCATCAGGGGTGGCACAGGCCACTTCATTAGTGCCCATTAGTGGGGCCTTGACAGCACGTGCCCCTGCAGATCTCCATAAAGTGAGGCTGCCGCGCATCCAGTGACTCATTCCGGGTGACAAGCGGAGCGCACCATTGACGAGCTCACAGGGCCAAAGTCACCCATCGTCCTGCCTCAACTCAGACTTCCAAAACCAAAGGGAGCACGGA